AGAATATATAAATGCTCCCTTTAGAGAATTGGAAATTGAAGAAGCGATAGAGAAATTAAAACCAAATAAGGCCCCAGGCCCGGACGGATTCTCTGCTATCTTTTATAAAACATATATGAAAATAATTACTCCAATCCTATTAGAGATGTATTCGTTAATATCTAGTGATGTTTCATTCCCAAAAGAGATGATGTTAGCAACAATTATTCCGATTCCTAAGCCAGATAAGGATAATTCAATAATTGCTAACTATAGACCAATATCACTCATAAATGTTGATATTAAAATATTCTCGGCTATATTGGCTAATCGTTTAAAAGAAGTATTGGGAGATTTGATTAATTGGGACCAGTCAGGATTTGTGAAAGGAAGAAGTACCTCTGATAATACAAGGAGGATTTTTAATATAATAAATAGAGTGAGCGGACAACAAAGGGAAGCTGTTATTATTGCTTTAGATGCCGAGAAGGCCTTTGACAGAGTCAATTGGAGATTCCTGGACTCTGTCATGGGCCATTTCGGACTGGAGGGAGCATTTAGAAATAAAACTTTATCTTTATATAGAAATTCCTCAGCAAGAATTAGCAGCCCATATTTTGACTCTGATCCCTTTGATATTAGGAATGGAACTAGGCAGGGCTGCCCGTTAGCTCCACTCCTATATATTCTTACAATCGAACCGTTGGCAATGATGATAAGACAGAATGAAAAGATAAAAGGAATAGATTTTCAAGAGCAATATATTAAAATATCTTTGTTTGCAGATGATGTCTTACTTACTCTTGTTGACCCCTTATTATCAATTCCACCGCTGTTAGAAGATATCTCTACATATAGTAAATTTTCTAACTATAAGGTTAATATTAATAAATCTCAAGTGCTTCCATTCCTATTGTCCAAGGTACAGCTAGAAATTTTGTATTCTTATTTTCATACAGAATGTATAAAAGATAAAATTGAATATTTAGGTATAAAGATAACATTTAATATTATAAAGACAATTCGGATAAATTTTGACAATCTATATAAAGATCTACAATCTCAGATACATAAATTGAAGAGATTAGAACCATCTTGGATAGGAAGAGTTAATATCATCAAATCGTATTTAATGCCAAAACTCCTATATTTTTTTAGGATGATTCCATATAATATTGAACGGGGCATTTTGAAGCGCTTCCAAAATTTATTTTCTAGCTATATATGGCGTGATAAACCACCCAGAATAGCGACGGAGATCCTATGTAGAAGTTACCGGAAAGGGGGTATAGCATTTCCCGATGTGATTAAGATGTATGAGGCAAACAGGGCTTCTCAACTTATGACATGGTTAAATTTGGATCAAAATATATCTAAATCTTGGATTAAAATTGAACAGAAATCAGAACCAGGGCAAAAGTTATACATCTTAGGGTGGCTAGGACTCCTGAATCTGGGGGCTTTGGACATGGAACAATTTTCTAACAAAATTATAGGAGATATGGTGGATTTTGCAAAATATTTGAATATTAAGTTGAAACTTAAAGGAAAATTATTATTTAATACACCCATAGAAATACTTCAATATGCTATGTCAGATATAAATATCAAAACTTGGATACATTTTGGCATTAAAATAATTGGAAATTTATATGAGGGATCTAAACTGGCGACATTTACACAACTACAATCTAAATATAAATTTGTATCTAGGGAAATATTCCAATACCTAAGGATCAAGAATTTCCTTTTAACTAAAATACTGATTAAAGATCATTACCTTACCTACGAAGAAGTAAGTAGAAGTATAGATCAGGGTGTTGCCGTGGATGTGATCTATTTGGATTTTGCCAAGGCATTTGATACAGTTCCACACAATAGATTAGTGTTCAAACTCAAGGAAATCGGTCTAGATGAAAATGCTTGTTCTTGGGTAGAACATTGGCTTAAAAACAGAGTACAAAGAGTTGTCATTAATGGTAAATTTTCAAGCTGGACAGAGGTGGCAAGTGGTGTCCCTCAGGGGTCTGTTCTGGGACCCCTTCTATTTAACATGTTTATAAATGATCTTGAAGACCGCATTGAAAGTCATGTTTCAGTGTTTGCAGATGACACCAAACTTTGTAAAACAATACAATGTGAGCAAGATATTACTTTGCTGCAGAGGGATTTAGATAGACTGGGGGACTGGGCACTCAAATGGCAGATGAAATTTAATGTTGAAAAATGCAAAGTTATGCACTTCGGCGTAAAGAATACACAAGCAACGTATACCCTTAATGGAAGCGAATTAGGGATAACAACACATGAAAAGGACTTGGGAATTGTTATAGACAACAAGCTATGCAACAATGTGCAATGTCAATCAGCAGTGGCCAAGGCCAGTAAGGTATTGTCATGCATGAAAAAGGGCATTCATTCTCGGGACAAGAATATCATTTTGCCTCTTTATAAATCACTGGTAAGACCCCATATTGAATATGCTGTGCAATTTTGGGCACCTGTTCTAAAGAAGGATATTATGGCACTAGAAAAAGTGCAGAGGCGGGCTACAAAATTAATAAAAGGAATGGAACATATCGGCTATGAAGAAAGGTTAACAAATTTAAACCTATTTAGTTTAGAAAAACGTCGCCTGAGAGGGGATATGATAACATTATACAAATATATTCGTGGCCAATACAAACCATTGTGTGGAAATCTATTCACAAACCGGACTTTACATAGGACACGAGGCCATGAGTTTAGACTGGAAGAAAGAAGATTTCGTCTAAGGCAAAGGAAAGGTTTTTTTACTGTAAGAACAATCAGGATGTGGAATTCTCTGCCTGAGGAAGTGGTTTTATCAGAGTCCATACAGATGTTCAAACGGCTACTAGATGCATACTTGCAAGAACAGAATATTCAAGGATATAATCTTTCAATGTAGGGTAATAACTGCTTGATCCAAGGATAAATCTGACTGCCATTCTGGGGTCAAGAAGGAATTTTTTTCCTAGTTTGTTGCAAAATTGTGCTTCAAACTGGGTTTTTTTGCCTTCTTTTGGATCAACAGCAAAAAATGTGAGGTAGGCTGAACTTGATGGACGCAAGTCTCTTTTCAGCTATGTAACTATGTAACTATGTAACCTTGAACCTTATATTATATGTAGTCAAAAAAAGGGAGGAATCTCTAGATTTAATACATTGTTTGATACACTAGATAATGTTATCGATGTGCCTCCATTTGGTAAGTGGGAGAGGGACATGGGGAAATCCCTCCCACTTATAGACTGGACAAATGCTACAAAGTTAGTAAAACAAAGTATACATAACATATCCTTACTCGAAACGCACTTAAAGATCATCTACAGGTGGTATATGGTCCCGGTTAGACTCCATAAAATATCTCCATCTTATTCAAAAGAATGTTGGAGATGTAGAAGAGAAGAGGGCACTATGCTCCATATATGGTGGGCCTGTACGGGCCTGAATAACATTAAAACTCAAATGTTAGGCTTAATGAAAAGTATCTTTAGGGAGGTCAATGTAATTAGTCCTGAATTGTTTTTGTTTAATATGGGCTACAAAACACTTGATAAACAACAAAAATATATTATGACACACATATTCCTGGCAATAAAAATTAATATCGCCAGAGCATGGAAATCTCCTAATCCACCACTTTGGCAAGAAATAATGGAGCAAATAAGGTTCCAATATAAGATGGAATCTCTAACTAAGGATTTGAAAGAGCTTTGGTTACCTTGGACTTCCAAATTTCCTATATAATAACGAGCTGTTAGTCTGCGACCCATCCCTTGCCGAGTCTCATATATGAATGTGTGTTTTTTGTTTTGTTATATGTTTGTTTTGTTGTTGTGAACTATATATAATGCTAATGCTATAATGCTATGGATTATTAAATGAATATATACTATTGTAGTATTATTAAGGTTGTAATATTGAAATTTGCACAATTTGTATAATAATCGTTTATTTGATATGTATAAAAGGAAAGAAAAATATTTGTAAATAAAATAAATATTAAAAAAAAGTCAACTAGGTGAGGGGTGAAGGTACTTTTACTTATGAGTTTAGTGAATGGTGCTTCGTAGTGGTTGTCTTTTTCATTTGTGGTTAAAAGGTCTACTAATGTATCCAAAAGGATTAGATCATTCCTATCCAAACCTATGTTCTTAGCTCTTTTTTCTTCACTTATTGAATGTAATTTATAAAGTGACATTTTCCTTGCGAACAAAGGTATGTCCTTTGTCCACGTAAAAAGGTCAAAAGTAGGGATCCGGACAAAGAACAGACCTCTGCGCAGGATATCCAATTCTGAAGGGAGAAGATTATGAGAGGAATGGTTTACCACTTGATTTTGGGCATCTATTATACCTATCTCCTTCTGGTGTATTAGGGGCGTCGACCGACTCTGTGTCCGGGGAGTTTGTGTCTCTTCCATGTCTGGTCTGCCTAAAAAAATAGACCCCCTATTTTAGAATGCTCCTGGGGTTGGTATCAGGGTGTCTAGATTGTTCATTTCTGACAGAATCAGATTCTGACTCACTTGTCTCATATTCTTAGGTGGTGAAATAGATTTTTTTTAGGCTTTTTGTTTCTCTTGTAGACATTACCTGTTTTAAAATCTTTGAAGTCTCTAATAAATTTGGCATGCTTGCGGGCTTTGACACTTGACTGAAACTTATGTAGTTGGTTTTTACGCTTCATTTCAAGGGACAACTACTAATCTAGTTGTTTTTTAAGCTTCATTTCAAGGGACACAAAATCAATTTCCCCTTTAAATTTCTGGATTTTATCAAGCTCTTGCTCCACTTTATTATTCAATCTATCAAGTTTTCTTTTTTCGAATTTATATAGGATTTCCATAAGCTTTTTGGAGCAAGATCCCGCTGCTTCTTCCCATTCAGTGATTAACTCAGTATTGTATGTGAGAGGCGGGTATTTTCATCTTGGAATAAGTTCTTTTTTAAGGTAATTCTCCAGAGATGTTATAGTCCACTCTGTTTTTATCTGTTGTTTAAAGACTTGAGTCAACCCATTGAATGCAGTGGTAATATCTCGATATCTAGATATTACCACTGCACTCAATGGGTTGACTCAAGATACTTCACAACAATGTTTTATAAATTAGCTCAGCGTAATTGGTTTCTTGTCACAGCTTACCTTAGTGGAAATCCGGTATGCAGAGATATGCTCACCCTTGCAATTAAACACATGCCAAGGTGGTCAGTGAAGAACTCACCTGGACTGTGAGTCTGTGCACGGGGGCTGTTCAGGATGATGCTCCAAATACAGTACAGATACGGACATAAACAGGAGAATCGTCGTGGGTAAGCCAAAGGTCATTGGGTACCAGAAATCAGGATAAACTAGTAGAGAGTCGAGGTCAGAGGATGCCAGAAGTCAGGTCAGTAATCAACAGGAGAACACAAAACAGCAATACGGGAACCAGAGTCAATGAACAATTGGAGGGAATTCTGGTGCAGAGCCACTGACCCGTGCGTGCTGCAGCTGAAACTCCACTATCGCCTGCTGCTGCTCGCACAGTCTCATGAGGTGGTGAGCGGGAAGGCCAAAGATACGCTGCAGCGCAGACTGGCGAGCAGCGACAGGGTGAGAACGCAAAAAGCGCGCAGAGCCGCTACAGTGAATGTCACATCCTGTTCCAAGCTGCGGATCAGTCTGGTGATGGCTTCTGGTATCCAGTACTCTTTTTACTGAAGCTGCTTCAGGGTCCTGGTATGTGGCCACACAAACGCTGGTGCTCAACACCAGGGGGCGTGCGGTTACCCCGCACCAGACCCTGCTAATCCATTCCACACTGTGACTCCTAACTTCAACATCAGGCATACTGGATCCCGGTCGTCCGACCGCCGCCCAGACAGTGTCTGGGTCCTGGTCACCGGACTGCCCACCTCACTGTGAAACTACAAATGGATTGTTAAATCTGGTACGAACCCGAACTTTGCAGTTCGGGTTTGCTCAACTCTATTATGGATCCTTTGAATGCTACATGTGTTACTTGGATAACTAGTAATTCTTGAGCTAATACATGCCGACGATCGCTAGGGGATGGCCGCTTCGCTTTTGCACCCTGCTCCCTCTTATGCTGTGCTGGTGTCTCTGTGCAACCAGCGCCTCTTCCTCCAAACTGCACACGTCACTCGCATGACCTTGATTCCATGTGGGGTCTAGGACCTCATCATCCTCCACATCATCTTCCACCCACTCCTCAACCCTGCCCTCCTTGCCGGTATGCACACTGCAGAAAGCCACAGCAGTTGGCACCTGTGTTTTTCCAGCATGTAAAGTCTGCAAAGAACATATGGAAATTGTTTTAGAATTGTATCCAGGCAACAGTTTTCCCTATGAACTGGATGTGGCAGAACCAACCTCGCCACTATGTTCTGGAGAAGCCTGGTTGCTCGCCTGCTGCCTCTGGACTATGGCCCCATGTTAAAAGCTTGTATTTTCCCCTGCAGAAATGCTTGTTTGTGCCTTTCTGGCAGGGAGTTCGGTAGATTGAATCTACCGAACCAACTCACGAATTAACGGAATGTAACTGCAGTACTTGAAGCTTCTATTTGACTCTCAGATAAGAAGTGCACCACACCCCACTAATGTACTAGTTTGCAGAACTCTTTCCTAAGCTGTCCCTATCAGCGGCAGCATCCTCTCCCTACACTAATAAGACCTAATGTGCGTACGGCGCTACGCGACTTCAGCTTATATATAGAGGCTGGGTCACATGCTGCACTGGCCAATCACAGCCATGCCATTAGTAGGCAAGGCTGTGATGGCTTCTAAGGGCACACGAGTCAAACGCTTGTTCATTGGCTGGCCTGCAGCTTTTGAAAATGCGCCATTAAATCGCCGAACACCGAACTCCAACCCGAACATACAGTGATATGTCCGTGTTTGGGTCCGGGGTCCAAAAAATGGAATGTTCGGTACGAACCCGAACTTTACAGTTCGGGTTCGCTCAACTCTAGTTGCGATCATATTGGTAACTTATTTTGATCTTCTCATTCTGTATCAATCACCACCTCCAACATGGAAGGGGTTAATTTAATCACCAAAGAGTAGAGTATGTACGTGGGCTGAAAGTAATTACATCACTTCTCAGTAACCATGAGTAACCACGATGATCGCTATATATATGTGCAGCGGCAGGCCCTCTCCTCCACCCCCCACCGGCTCCCTGTATTTTCAGAGTGGCCAAAGCAGACTGCAGGAGCACATTACAGATCTTCCCTCTCTCTAACTAACGCGAGGCGTGCGGCCACCAGAGCGTTGCCACGGGTTACTTTCCGTGCGGCATGCACACCACACTCGCGGGAATTAGAGAGAATAGCTCTAAAGTACTAATGCAGTCTCCTGGGCCCCCTCTGCAAATACAGGAAGCCGGGGCCCCACCATGCCACCGGACCAACAGGGATGGAATCTCCCCTCTCCCTGGACCAGGTCAAAAGAAGGGAGGGGGGAATAACAGATTGTACATTTAAAATAGGGGTGGGAGGGGGTGCATTTGCACAACATGCATACACTACTAAACACACACACTCTGCATTCACTACACTGACACACACTCTACATTCACTGCATTGACACACACTCTGCACAGACCTTGTGCTTTGTCAGGGACCGACAAATTTCTGATGCCAGCCCTGTATTGACATGCCTCACTCTCACTAGTTTTTTTTTTTTATTTGATTTTTCACTCCTTTATTCTTTTACTCCTCTACCTATCCCGTCAGTTTAACAGGGAGAGAGGCTTTACTACAATTTACTGTCTTATGCTCAACCTATTTCCTATATCACTTTCCTACACATTGGAATTTATTTTTTTGTATGTGGGATATTTTAGGTTGCAGCTGAATATACTATAGTACTCTATTATCCAATCTATGTTTATTCATGCTTCACTTGGATAGTACTATGGTCTAACCTTTAGTCGATCTCTGTTACTTAACACTTGGACCATGGTTTAACCCCTTGTCTACCTGGGTACACTGGTATACTTTTCCAGTGCACTATTTACCTGCCAAGGGCTAACAAAGGTACTATTAACTGGCTGCTTTATACAGACAGAACTAACCTCTAGTTAATCCATGTTTTTTAACACTAATACTATGGTTTAACCCCTTGTCTACCTTGGTACACTAGTTTATATTCCAGTGCACTACTTACCTACAAAGGGTTATCATAAGTGCTACAAATAAGCCTCATTAATAAAGTTTGTATATTAATAGTTTAAACACCTGTCTGGGTAATCCAGTGGTTATCCATTATCTATATTAGGTAGAGGAGTAGCCTTACACGGCTAGTATATTTCACTTGCGCTGGGGATATATGTGGTTTGTGTATGTATGGGTGCATGCAGAGTGGACTGTGATCCCCTTTCCTTCAGGATACTGATTAAATTTTTCCAGTTTTTATCTCATCCACTTCATTGTGGATTAGGTGAATCTTTCCTGTGTTATTTTTAATATATTTATATTTATTATAAATATTATTGAGGAAGAACAGCTGTTAGAGCAAATTGAGAAAGCTGCAAGTCGAGGTAACACGTTAATTATCGGAGATTTTTATTATCCAGACATAAATTGGGAAAGAGGGACTAGTACTTCAGCAAGGGGCATCAGGTTTTTGAATGTGTTAAATGACACCTTTATGTCACAACTGGTACAAGCACCAACTAGAAAGGATGCTTGTCTGGATCTTGTCATATAACAAACAAACATTTTTCAAGAACATCAATTCTAAAAAAACAAAAAATGAAAGTGTAGGTACACTTGAAACAGAGTTGGGTTTATTAGCTAATGAAGACCAGGAAAAAGCAGAAATTTTAAATAACTATTTTTCTTCAGTATATATTAATGAGGATCCTATGGCAAGAGATATGCAAATGATTGCTGCAAAAAACTTGCAAATAACTTGTGATTGGATAACTCGAGACAAGGTGCTACAGCTATTAAAGAAAATTAATGAAAATAAAGCTCCTGGGCCTGACGGTATTCACCCACGAGTACTTAAGGAGCTACGTGGGGAAATAAGTGAACCTCTGTATTTAATTTTTCACGATTCTTTTGTTTCAGGTGTTGTACCGGAGGATTGGAGGAAGGCAGATGTTGTTCCTATATTTAAAAAGGGTTCAAAATCCTTGCCTGGAAATTATAGACCTGTGAGCTTAACTTCTGTAACTGGGAAAATATTTGAAGGGCTCTTAAGTGATAATATTCAGGAATTCATTGGGAAGAATTTTGTTATTAGCAATAATCAGCATGGTTTTATGAAACATAGGTCATGTCAAACTAACCTAATTGTATTCTACGAAGAAGTAAGTAGAAGTATAGATCAGGGTGGTGCAGTGGATGTTATCTACTTGGATTTTGCCAAGGTATTTGATACGGTTCCTCACAATAGGTTAGTCTTCAAACTAAAAGAAATTGGTCTAGATGAATATTCTTGTTCTTGGGTGGAACATTGGCTTAAGGATAGAGTACAACAAGTTGTAATTATTGGTAAATTTTCAGGCTGGACAAAAGTGGTAAGTGGTGTCCCTCAGGGTTCTGTTTTGGGACCACTTCTATTTAACATATTTATAAATGATCTTGAAATAGGCATTGAAAGCCATGTATCAGTGTTTGCAGATGACACAAAACTTTGTAAAGTAATAAAATGTGAGCAGGATATTGCTTTGCTGCAGAGAGATTTGGATAGATTGGGGGACTGGGCACTAAAATGGCAGATTAAATTTAACATAGAGAAATGCAAAGTTATGCACTTCGGGGTTAAGAATGCACAAGCAACTTACACACTAAATGGTAGTGAATTAGGGATAACCACACACGAGAAGGATTTGGGAATTGTTATAGACAACAAATTAGGCAGCAATATGCAATGTCAATCTGCAGTTGCTAAGGCCAGTAAGATTTTGTCATTTATAAATAGGGGCATAAATTCTCGGGATGAAAATATAATTTTGCCTCTTTATAAATCGCTGGTAAGACCACACCTTGAATATGCTGTGCAATTTTGGGCGCCTGTTCTAAAGAAGGATATCATGGCACTGGAGAGGGTCCAGAGACGAGCTACAAAATTGA